ACATCATTTTTCAAGTAACGGCAAGGTGCACTTGTACGGACGACAGCAACATTGCGAGTAGAGACTGTGGGCACGTGCATACGGCAGACTCATTTAAATTTCTAGTCTTAGGTTAAAATAGGTTTTTTGCATTTCATTGTTTTAAATTATTTTGGATTTTTTTTATTTTATTTAAATTTCGTATTTAAACACCTAAAACTCTGTTTTCTAGAGAAGAGTTTGTTTTAAATGTTTTCCGCATTTATATAAAAGATGATGTTTTCTTTTAAGAGTTATATTTTTGCATTAGAGATGAGTATGAGACATTAGTAATGACTTTGAGTATGTAGAAATTTAGAGTCGTTATATTTTCATAGTCAGGAAAACTTGTAACTATACTAATATAATATAGTATGATACATATTTTATTATTATTAATCTATAAATAGTTTGATTGTGATATCTCTTACTTAATTATATGAAATGATTGAAGAAAGAAAACTTTCTTATTGAATGAAAATATGATATTGATTATTTTATGTATTTTTTTTTTAAAAAAAAACATTATTTATTTTAAATCGTTAACCAATTAAATTATATTTAGGTTGATATATTCTACATCTGAAATATCTCTAAATAAAAATTAGTGAGATAATCAAATGACACTAGATTTGTTAATATATATATATATATAATACTTCTGTTATGTCTTTCTTTTTATCTATAATTAAACATATTTTCTTACCTTTGAAAAAGTAAATATGTCATCTTTTTCTACGAAAAAACAACTGCATCAAGAAATTGGTGACTGTGTGATTGCGTCCACCATATTTAATGTCACACACGGTTGATCCACGGGAACCTACATTTGTAATCATATAATTAAAAAGTAATAAATCTTAAAAAATTATAAATAGAATAAATAGCTTACAAAATGGCCAGCACCAAAGATCTAATAGAAGTGCAAGTTCTTATGCGACTTAGTGAATCCCTTGGTGTGCTTCTCATTTCCACAAAATAAAGTAGTTCTCTCCTTACTTATAAATACCTTTAGCCCTTCCCACCTAATTTCAAAGAAAAAAAATTGCTTTAGCAAAAATTAAGAATTTTTTTTTAGGAAACGTTGACTTAGGTTTATGTTTATGTCAATAACCATAAATCACTCCAAAAAAGAAATTACTTAAGCTTATTAATCCAGACTTGGGTTCCTATGGTTGAACAAATTTTTATCACTTCAAAATATTCCTTGTTTTTGTTTGAAGAAAAAAAAACTTACTTGATGGCTGTAGACCGTCTCATTTCGTTTTATATCTTTTTGAACTAATGTTCATTCTCTGGAGAAAAATAAAATATTTTTTTTAAATTGGATTTAGATTTTAAAAATATGTTTTCTAAGTGGATGATAAAATAAAGGAATTTGTAGGCCAAAATAGTTTTTATAAACTTTAAAAAAATTAAATGGTTATGAATCAAGCCTAAATTACCAATTTAAAAAAGTTCTAAATAAGAGGGTTTTATAAATTTACAAATTTAAAAGATAACTTAATAAACAAAAAATAAAAATAGAAATAAAAATAAAGACTTGGTAGACCTACTTTAACTTAATATAAATTCAAATTTAAATTTCATTGGTTTGGAAGGATTTTGTTAAAATAATAGTAATTATAATAATAATAACAAAACCTACCGGGTGGTTGCTATTGGAGAAAATTAATCCCTCAAGATCATTCCATGAAAGAGTTGCATTTTCGTACAACCTGTTTTTAATTTGCTACTTGATCTTCAACGCTAAACTGATTTTCAAAAGACACCTTTTGTTACATATAACTTTTATATTTATAGAATATATTTCACTTCTTTATTAATGTTTATATTTAAAAAAAAATGAAAAATAATAATCTATTTGATTATTGCAGCGTCCTGTCGTCAATTCGTGAGAGATCTTTGAGAAGAGGACCCTAAGAAGACTGTAAAATTTTAGACAAAGATTATTTTGTTAAGGATAAATAATAAAAGAATACTCCTTAAATATGAGGTTGGTTTCGGTTATACTCTCGAGCTTTGAGATATTTCATTTTAACTCTTAAATCAGGATATAATTGAAATCAACTTCATAGTTTAGTAGTGTTCTTTTCGTTTATCATTCTGAAAACGAAAATATCAAAAAAATTGATAAAATTTTTGGATGAGATTGAGAGATTGAGAATACGAACCGTGTAATCTTCTGGAGACATCCAATTGTTTCCTAGAGAAACTTCTGACAAACAAAATCGAGAGTCATTTAAATTATTGATTCTATATTATTACAATGTGATCATTTTAAACAAATCAAAGTTATAATATGATTTTTTTTTTATTTACATATATAAAAAAAAAGTTATAATTCATCAATTATATTTAAAATTTTTTATTAAAAAAAAAAAGTAAAAATAGAAGTACCTCGGAGATTTAGGGTCAAATTTCCAGCTTGGATGGCCTGAAGAAGGGACAAAGCAAGGGTGACGGCGAATTTGTCACCGTAAGACTCCTCCAAGATGTACAAAGGAGGGTTTCGTAGGCCGACAGTGTCGTTCGAAACCTCAGCCAGCAAAGTCGTCATGTCGATCGCCGCCTCCACATCGCCTTTCGCAAATTCACCTCCACTCTCCACGTAGCTATATCTGGTCCCGACTAGATTATCCTGTTTTTTTTTTTTAAATTTAGTCAAAAAATATTAGAATTTAAGGTTAAAATGACAAAAATTAAAAGGAAAAGGCCACAAACAAGAGGTTTGCTTTTTGCAGGCATGTTGAGTTTCTGGGCTTCAAGTTCGAGTTCAATGGTCTGATTTCCAGGAAGTTCCCAAACCTAGTTCCTGAGCCACCCTGTTTTTCAATATTTGAGCCATTTTCTTACAAAATACCCAAAATTTATAAATAAATCATTGGAAAAGATCGGCAGCTCACCGGTCCGCCCTGCAACCAGAGAATGGTCGGCCATGGCTTGGAACCGACGTCCACTCTAGAAGGGCTTCTATAAAGCCACCAAAACATATGGGCTTCTAAACAACACAATACACGAGCAAATATATAAAAAATAATGACAAAAATAAAATAGAAGGAAAATTAATGAACTTGGCTTACTGGGTCTGACTTGAACGTAGCCCCATTCTTCAGATCCGTCTTGAGATTTGTGAGTTATGGAAGTTCCGACATGAAACAGAGAAGAGGAAGCAATGAGAACGAAACAGAGATGAAGAACTAATAGTTTAGCCATTGTCGAGAGAATGAGAAGCTTAGGTTCTTTAAAAATGGTGATAATGGATGACGATGAGACTCTTAGGTATTTATTGAATGGATGAATTAATTGGGAAGTTATGAAGGGGGGTGGAGAAAGACAAGATTAGGGCTATAAAGTACAAAATGAGCAACGGACCATTGAATAGCACAAGATACAACGACAATAAATAAGGTGACAATAGAGTGGGAGTAGAACCTAACTTATATTTTCTATTTTTCTTTACCATCTTCCAACCGATTTTATTCTCATTTTGGTATGAAAATTGAAATTATTTAATAAAAGTATATATTTAGAATTTTTTTAATGTAGAAATTTGTGGATGTGTGGAGTCATTTAGTTACTAATTTAGTCCGTTGATTAAAATTAATTATGTGTTGTATTTAATTTTATTAAATGTTTTGAATGTTTGTTTGGTTAAAATTAATGAATGAATTAATGAAAATTGAATATTAAGATTAAATTTTTGACAAGTACAAGATCTAATTTTATAATATAAACATTTAGTTGTAAAAATTAATACGTATAATTGAGATTTTTTTAAAGGTAGTATTTCTAAACAATAAAGATAGTACCACTACAAATTTAAGATTATACTTCGCTTAATTAAACAATAATTTGTATTTTTATGAACATTGGAATTGATGAATATCTTAAGTCTTATTTAGTAACTGTATAGAAGTTGTGGTTGTTTTTTTTTTTTTTTTTGATAATTTTGGAAGTAGTATTTTTAAATTTAATTTTTTGAAATAAAAAATCAAATGGTTATTAAAAGAAGCCTATATAAAATAGGACTAAATACAACCAGCTAAAATTTAAAGATTATTAAAGGATGTCAGTAGGAGGATTCATATTTTGAACATGGTTGTGGAGGAGCTCGGGTCTATTTAATGTCATGAATAGGGTCCGGGCTTGTGGTCTTTGTCCCAACTTCTCGTATATACATTTTCACTCAATTTTTTAAAATGGGAAAAGAACCGTACAAAGAAATAATATATTCTTTATAGTAACAAATATGATAGAGATTTAAACCTTGAGCGTTAAAGAAAAGACTAAATACCTTAATCATTATGAAAGAAACATTTTTATTTGAGAATGGTTAGTATAAATTGTAATGAGCAAAATAGGAGGAATGATTAAAGATTTCCCATAAACACATAACATGATTCATATTCTCATTAATATTTGATTACTTTAAAGAAAATATAATTTTTCTTTTATTACAATAATTTGAAGTTTGAGAAAAAACAATCTAGCCAAACTACCATTATAACATCAACATTTTTTCATTTAAACAACTATCTTTACGGGGTGGAAGGAAAAAAGTGGAAGCCAACCAGAGTTGGATCAACCTTTGTGAAGGAAGTTGAGTTAGAAAAGTAAACTTCATTGAGATTCAATATTGGAAATAGGAGAATTGGAAGGTCCTTTTGTTGGGAGAGTAGTAGTAAGTACCTAAATGTTATAAGAATTTGATCAAATATTGTTATGGTCTCTTTTGATAGTTAGAGTATTTTTTTTAGCTATTTAGTTTAACTAATTTACCATATTTGTGGTTAGTTTCTATTTATTTATGTTGTTATTGTAAGGCTATAAAAGCCAAAGTTAAATACTCAATAATATTATCGCTTCAAACTCCAATCGTTTATGTTTCCGTGTTAATCATTCTTCTGTTAAAAACTTATAATTGGCCTCAGTACCACCACTAGGCTTTGTAGTGTAGTAATTTTTTAGTGATCAAATACATAGAGTATGAGTAAAGACAAGACTTTAACGAAGATCCCTCACTTCGATGGTCTCTATGATCACTGGAGTGAGCTGATGGAAAATTTGCTCAAAGCAAAGAGTTTATGAAGTGTGGTAGAGATTGGTTTCTCAGAACTAGCGGAAGAAACAATGCTGACTAAGGCACAAAAGGGTCACCTTGATGATGCTAGACTCAAAGATCACCAAGTAAAGCATTACCTCTTCCAGGCAATTGATCATACTGTCTTTGAACAAATCTTGGATCGTCGCACAACCAATATTGTTTGGGACTCAATGATGCGAAAGTTTGGTGGAAACAAAAAAGTGAAGAAATCTCTTCTTAATGCATTAAGGAGAGAATTTGAGATCCTAGAGATCGAAGAAGATGAAAGTATCATATTATTTTGCAAGAGTGATGATAATCTCCAACAAGATGAGAAGATATGCCAGACAAGAAAACTGTAGAAAAAATTCTACGTACCGTCACTGAAAAATTTACTTATGTTGTATTATCCATTGAGGAATCCAAAGATACTGATAACATATCCATTGATGAATTACAAAGTTCATTAGTGGTGCATGAACAAAAATTTCGAAGATCAAGCAATACTGGAGAGGAGCAAGTTCTAAAAGTCGAAGGTCGAACGAAAATAAGTAGTATAGGAAGAGGAACTTACAGGAGCAGAGGACACGAAAGAGGAAAATCAACTTTCAACAAAGCAACTATTGAATGTTATAGGTGTCATGACTTGGGTCATAAATATGAATGTCCAAAGATGAATAAGGAATTGAATTATGCAAAGCTGGAAGAAGAGGATGAAATGTTGTTAATGGCTGATATTGAAGACATGAAGCAAAAAGGAGTTATACTTGGTTCTTAGATTTTGGTTGCTTAAACCATATGTGTGTATATGAAGGTATGTTTTCAAGCTTAGACAGGATCTTTTCCCACTCCATCAAAAGCTTGAAAATAATATAAGTACGAATGGTTCTGGAAAGGGTGTAGTGAAATTAACTTTGCATGGGATTCGCTACACTATTAGTAATGTGTATTGGGTACCTGAATTTAAAAATAATCTCTTAAGCGTTGGAAAAATACAAGAAAAAGGAGCAGCAGTGCTCTTCAAAGATAATGTACGTAGCATTTATCATCCACAAAAAAGAAAAATGGCAGAGTCAATTATGAGTGCAAATTAGTTGTTCACTTTGTTTGTTAAACCATCTGCCACAACAAATGAAGGAAGATGCCTCCAAGTTTCAAATATGGATCAGTTAACACTTTGCAACCATCATTATGGTCATCTCGGCTACAAAGGCTTGTGCACCTTGAAACACAAAAACATGGTGAAAGGTCTGCCACAAATTGTAGCTCCAAACACCACCTATGAGGCATGTATGAAAGGAAAGCATATCAAACTCCATTTTCAAAAATGAGTAAATGGCAAGTGAAAAATTGGGCCTTGTAAATGCAGATCTATGTGGTCGAATTTCACCAGCTTCAAATAGCCATAAAAAGTATTTGTTGTGCGATGATTTTTCAAAGAAGGCATGGAGTTATTTTCTTTTGTATAAAAATCAGAAACATTTTATCATTTCAAATGTTTCAAAATAATTGTGGAAAAGAAATTGGAATGCCTATAATGTTTAAGGACAGATAGAGGAGTAGAGTTCAATTCAGTAAAATTCAACGATTTTTGCAAACAGCATAGAGTGCAGACACAATTGACCACAACCTATAGCCCAATTAAATAGAGTGGCAAAACGCCAAAATTGCACCGTGATGAACTTGGTAAGGTAAGAGTTATGCTGACAGAGAAGAAAGTGCCTAAAAATTTCTAGCCTTAAGTAGTTAGGCGGACATTTCTAGCCTAAAGCAGTCAGGTGGACGATTCACATTTTGAATTGATCACCCACTCTTGCAGTAAAAGAGATGACACCAGAAGAGGCTTGGACTGGGGAGAAACCATCAGTAGATTATTTTAGAGTTTTTGAATGTGCGAAACATGTTCATATTCTAGATGCCAAGAGAAGCAAACTTGAAGATAAAAGTGTAATATGTGTTTTACTTGGAGTCAGCAGCGAATCCAAAGGCTATTGAAATGTTTGGTCCAACTACAAATAAAATTATAATAAGTTGTAATGTAGTTTTTGAGGAAGATCGTGAATGGAATTGGAAATTTTTTTAAGGTGAAACAAAATTGGACTGGGGGACAATATTGAAATTGATGAGAATACAGTCGAAGAAGGAGAAGTCACGGTGGAAACGACTAAACTGGTTGCTGAAACAATTGAACCAGTTGTTGAAAACAAAGAAGGGGAAATCACGGAAGAAACGACTAAACTGGTTGATGATTTCAGATCCTGTGAATTTTGAGGAGCTTTCAAAATCCCAAAATGGAGATTGGCTATGGATGAAGAAATCAAATCCATTGAAAAAAAATCAAACATGGAACTTGGTGGTTCTGTCGGCTAGAGCAAAGAAAATAAGAGTGAAATGGATTTACAAGATCAAGCTAAATAAGTTTGGAGAAGTTGATAAATACAAAGCAAGATTGGTTGTAAAAGCCTACATACAAGAGCATGAAATTGATTTTACAGAAGTGTATGCATCTGTGGCCAGAATGGATACTGTGAGAATTGTCATTGCTTTTGCCACCAAGAAAAGTTGGAAACTCTATATGGTGAGTTAAACGAAGATATTTTTGTTGAACAACCAAAAGATTAGGAGAAAAAGGGAAGTGAGGAGAGGGCGTACAAATTCCATAAGGCTCTCGATGGATTGTCAAATCAGCTTTTCTATATGGTGAGTTAAACGAAGATATTTTTGTTGAACAACCAAAAGATTAGGAGAAAAAGGGAAGTGAGGAGAGGGCGTACAAATTCCATAAGGCTCTCGATGGATTAAAACAAGCACCTAGAACCTAGTTTAGTTGAATAGAATCCTTCTGCATCAAAGAAGGATTCGAAAGCAACTCCAGTAAGCAGACACTACATCACGAGGAAGGGAGGACAGAAAATTGGCAAAGATGAAAATGGTGCAAAAGTAGATGTAACTTTGTATAAACAAATAGTGGGAAGTCTGATGTATCTCGCAGCTACTCATCCTGATCTCATGTTTGTTGTAAGTTTGATTAGTCGTGATATGAACCAAAAGACGTCAATCATACAATATACTTCAATGAAGATGTGAAGAAAAGGTTGTCAAAATTATCAAAAGATGTTTCAATTCATGACACATTGAAGAAGAATGAAGTTTGATTGTTATAAATTTTGGGTAGGTTACAATTTAGAGTAATTTAGAGTTATTATGATAACTTTTTATTTAGAGTAATTTAGGGTTACGATTACATAATGACTAATTATGATCATTAAGTATGAATGTTACTAACTCTTGTAATGCCTTTAATAGTTTCATTTTGAGGCTATATAAAGCCGTATGTTGTATTTGTAAGTAGACTTGGAAAATATAGTAAATGAAGCATTTGTGCTTTCTTTAGCCAATGACTAAGTTTCTTTGCAATTCTATGTAGTTTAGGTTGTATGTAGAATCATTCAAGCTCGATATGATCAATCTTGCTTGTGGAGTGATTCGAATCTCAAACAAGTGTTCTTGCGTTGAGATATTTGATCAACAAGAATCATTCAAGCTAGACATGATCGATCTTGCTTGTGGAGTGATTCGAATCTCAAACAATGTTCTTATCATGAGATATTTGATCAACAAGGTAATCCGATCTTACTCCACATGTAGTGATTTCCACATATCAGTGCCATGAATTGAAACATCTTTTGATAATTTTGACAACATTTTCTTCATATCTTCATTGAAGTATATTGTATGATTGACGTCTTTTGGTTCATATCAAATCGTCTTATTGCATGTCCAACAAAACAACATGTTGCAGTAGCTAAAAGGGTTTTAAGGTACTTGAAAGGTACGATAGATTATGGTGTATTTTATAGAAAGGGAGGAGTTAGTGATTTAATTGGATTTACTAATAGTGACTATGCCGGAGACTTGGAAGATATTAAGAGTACTTCAGGCTATGTGTTTATGATAAGCGGAGGAGCAGTAGCTTGGTCTTCTCGTAAACAGCCTATAGTCACCTTATCAACCACAGAAGTTGAGTTTATTACTGCTAGTGCCTGTGCATGTCAAGCTGTTTGGATAAGGATACTCAAAGAGATGGGTCACTATCAAATTGAAGGAACAAAGCTAATGTGTGATAATACTTCAATTATTAAGATATCCAAAAATCCAGTTCTACATGGACGTTCCAAACAGATAAGAATAAGATTTCACTTTCTTAGAGATCTTTCAAAAGAAGGAACGGTTAATTTATTATTTTGTGGTACCCGAAATCAACTTGCTGATTTGTTAACAAAGCATCTCAAATTAGAAGTTTTTCAGAAGTGGTGTGAAGAACTTGGTGTGCAGAGTTTTTCTAACTTGAAATAATTTGACAAAGAATAATAAGTTCAAGGGAGGGATTATTAGAATAATTTGATTATGTCAAATACGCTTATGTTTCTAGAGTATTTTTAGCTATTTAGTTTAACTAATTTGTCATATTTGTGTTAGTTTCGATTTCTGTTGTTATTTGTAAAAGCTAAGTTTAGTACTCAAAAGCCAATTTCAGTACTCAATAATATTATCAGTTGAAACTCCAGTTGTTTATGTTTCGGCTTAATCATTCTTCTGTTACACTAAATCCTCATAATCACCCTAGATAAAGTTTTGTAAATTCACTAACACAATTATTCTTACTAGATTAATCAATAACAGAGATTAGATTCATTATTTCATTTGTCTGTTATCGTACAAATCAACTTTATATGTATAGAAATAAGGACGAGAAGAATTAGTAGGTCACTTGGACGGAACAAGAGGATGAAGATGAATGAATCAGTAGTAATCTCATTTTTCTTTATTGTCGTCTAAGTCATCATAAGGAGTAAGCACGAATAACTTCTAGAATGGGCACACAACACATCAGATACTTTTCTCGAGCCTTAACCGACTCGTTAGCACATTTTGAACACGTGCACATGTGCCCACATCTAAAAGTTGTAAATGAGAGAAAATGTAAAGTTAAGTGAAAGTTGGTACCAAAAGAAAAACACACAAAAACAAACTGATTGGTAAAATTATCTGTACAACAAAGCATGTAAATTTTATAAGCTAAAGAATCTAGTGGCAATAATAATGAAGACAAACCTTTTGAACTAGCTGTCGACTCAACGTAGAAGAAACTTCTTTCTTTATTGAGCGCTGCAACTCTAGTTGCATATCCATGCATATCTCCAACATTCTCTGTAGGTTGCTCATCCTCTGTTGCAGCCTCGACATGTCAATCCTCAAATCGTTGATGATCTCCCAATCTTGTAAGATTTAGCAACAAGTTTAAGTAAAAAAAAAAAAAAAAAAAGATAATCACAATAATTTCACCAGAAAGAAAATTGCATTAATTCAAAATATAATTATGGAATCACCATTCATCAATGGTTTACCGATTACATTTGCATGTTTTACTATTTATTTTATTTTATTTACTTTGCATCCTACTGGCTTCAACTAGAAAGACAATAATGGAACCTTGATGAAACATACAACTCCAAATTGCTAACGGAAATCACGTTGTGGCCAACTCCCATTGCTCAACTCATGATCCCAAAGTTGTCGAGAGGGCAATGTAGGTGGCAGTGGAAAAACAGTCGAATGGCTCTCAATAGAACCCGCTTGACCTTCACTCTGCCTATTGTGTTCATGTTCTTGTTCTGGTTTTGTAGATGTGTAAGGGGGTGTCACAACCTAACTATGAAAAGAGTAGGTTGTGACCATCACATTGCGACAAGAGAAGCGGCGACCATCAAGTGGTCCCCATCCGTCCACACGAGGGCCAAGACGAATGCCACGATGCGACCGAGGAGGACGGTATATCGTCTAACACACCACACAGAGTGGGCATTGAAGACAAGTTGAGATATAAGCAAGATAGAGACATCGAATAGACAATAGTGGAAAATATGGGCTTGTTGAAGGGTCGGGTAGGGTCCAAAGCCTTAACCTCGAAAGTCAAGGCTGCAAAAGAAATTTGGACATGCGGCTCTGGAGTTAAACTCATGTCTATGATGAAAAATTGAAAATGGCTCAAAATATACTATAGGGGTACCATGGTGTCAGCTCTCCACCACCCCTGGGCCATGTGACCTAATCGAGCTACCCTGTGGCACATACGTGTATCACAGTATGGGTTTGCGTACCGAGACGAGTGTCGAAGTTTGCTATATAGACCCGCTATCCGATACGGTATATGTAAATGACATGGAACTGGCACGGGAGAGCCAATACCTCGATAGAACTCGGATGGATGGATGTTTGGGACGTTCCAATGAGATGAGCGACATGTGGGTCCGTTCTCATTGGCATGAGCGAGGGAGTTGCGATGGCCGACGACACCGCGAGATTCAACAAGATGGCCTCAAGACATATGGGCCATATCGATGAGGATCACAATAAAAATATGAGACCTGACGTTGCATTGAAAGAACTTGGCCCCGAGCAGAGGTAAGGTCGAGCTGAATAACTTGGCCTAGTGTAGAGGCAAGTCGATTGTGTCACAGACGATTGAACATGCATGCACAGGCAACGTGTGTGGTTGAACAAGCATGGATTCCGCACAAGCGATGTTTGATTGGTGAAGACAAACCTTACCTAAGGTCCAATGACGCCACAAAGATGGGGTGAAAAATATATATGGGGCTTAATTCCCCTTAAGGCTAGTCGTGAGCGTGTCAAGATCACCACACAACTATGTTGAAAAAGTAGTACTGTGACAGTTGGTATCAGAGCCATAGTTTGTGTGTCTAGTGGGACAACATAGTCAAGAGAAATGAACTCGAGAGTTGATTGAAGACCTTGCAAGTGTGTCAAGAGTGCCAGAGTGGGCAAGACAGTTTCTGGTCAGAATTAGAATAAGTTGTGGGCTGAAACCAAGACTACCTGAAGTTCATTAGTGTTGTGTGTCGACACTTCAGTGTGGGGAGATCTACCCATCAAGTAAAACCAAGCTCATTTGCCAAGCGCTTTTAGTCCCTAAGTGGGCAAGACAGATGAAACAGAAAGCAAACCATGTCGGTGCTTTCTAAAGAGCCATTCACATTAGAGGAATAGTGTTAGTGGTTGCAAGCAGAGAAGCCAAGAGCCAAGAAAAGACAAGCATCGGCCAAGTGCCAAAGTTGAGTACAACGCAAGTTCTTATGGGAAGATGAATTTTGTGCAAAGAGGCAACCGAGTTTAAGTGGGAGAGAGCCCGAGTAATTAAGTATCTCACCCCGTAGAGGTGCTCTAAGGTGCGAGTACACATGTACTCCTTGAGCCATCACATTATGCCTAAAGTGGATGACTCCACAAGAATTGTCAAGACCAATATCAACTCGAGAAGTGAGCATCAACTGGAAGTGGACATAGAGAAGTGAAGCTACAACATGACCACAGAAGCGTCAAGACGGCATTGCCACATGAAGGTGGCCAATTAAGAGTTGGCGAAAGTGTAGCGCCAACACAGAGTTGTGTTACAAATTTTAAAAGAATTGACAAGAGTGTAAAGCAAACACAGAGTTGTGTTATGAGTTTTGCAGACATCCAGTTAAGAGTTGGCTGAAGTGAAGCGCCAATACGGGGTTGTGTTACAAGCTTTCATACATTGCTACTATAATGGTTGGTGCCACGATGAATAAATGTCGTGGTTGGCTTGCGAGCCTCACCTTAAGGGGTGCACCATTGTGTGCGACTCAGAGAATACAATGAGTGTGGCCAAAGTGGCAAATGATAGGAAATGAGATCTTAATGAAAATAGAATTATATATCGTTCTAGGACTTTACTCATGAAAAGTCTTTAATGCTCGTATGAGGTCTAGTACATCGACCATTGTGAGATTTAGAGAATTGAACGTGAAATTGATGTCATGGATTCATATAGGTTGACTTGGATACAATGGACAAAATCAAACTTTCATTAATGATAAATTGGTGACACCAGCCTAAACTAACTAATCACGTAAGTGGTCTTACTATAGGAGAGGCGGAAAATTGTATGAGTTATGATGATGTATGAGTTGTATCACATGATGTCCTATACTAGTATATGATGATGTATGAGCCATGATGATGCATGAGTTATGATGATGTATGAGCGGTGTCGTATGATGCCATATACTGGTATATGATGATGTTTGAGTTATGTCGTATGATGATGTGCGTAATATTTGTATATTTCGATATACTTGATATGCTTGATGAACTTTATGGCGATATTATGAGTATGATGATTGCATGATGTTTTTCTTAATATGGCTATGTTTTCTAGATTGTATGATGATGAGTTCCATATTGTATGTTCATAAGCATATGGCTACTTCTCCTAAAGATGATGAGTGCAGACCCGCACAGTATGATGAGCAGGGTGTTCATGAGGTGCATGACACTATGGGGTTCCGTTGACCTCCGAACGTCGCTACAAATTAGCTTGACTAGAGGGTCTAGGGGGTGTGCGAGCGAGCTGGAGATTCACACTTGCATGTGTGGGTCGTGTGTAGGGAAGTACTACACATTCAATTTGTTGAGACTAGAGGCCACCCCTAGATGAGCTAGAGATAGGTCCCTAAATTAAGATTGCTTGTGTCACATCATTTTTCAGGTAACGGCAAGGTGCACTTGTACGGACAACGGCAACATTGCGAGTAGAGACTGTGGCACGTGCATACGGCAGACTCATTTAAATTTCTAGTCTGAGGTTATAATAGGTTGTTTTGCATTTCATTGTTTTAAATTATTTTGTATTTATTTTTATTTTATGTAAATGTCGTATTTAAACACCTAAAACTCTGTTTTCGAGAGAAGAGTTTGTTTTAAATATTTTCGTCATTTATATAAAAGATGATGTTTTCTTTTAAGAGTTATATTTTTGCATTAGAGATGAGTATGAAACGTTAGTAACGACTTTGAGTAGGTAGAAATTTAGAGTCGTTAGATTTTCATAGTCGGGAAAACTTGTAACTATACTAATATAATATAGTATGATACATATTTTATTATTATTAATCTATAAATAGTTTGATTGTGACATCTATTCTTATTGAATGAAAATATGATATTGATTATTTTATGTATTTTTTTAAAAAAAAACATTATTTATTTTAAATCGTTAACCAATTAAATTATATTTAGGTTGATATAATAGTAAATCTCAAATATCTAAATAAAAATTAGTGAGATAATCAAATGACACTAAAAAAGTAAATATGTCATTTCTTTCTCACTAATATATATATAATACATATGTTATTTCTTTCTTTTATTTATAATTAAACATATTTTCTTACATTTGAAAAAGTAAATATGTCATATTTTTTCTATGAAAAACAACTACATCAAGAAGCTGGTGACGGTGTGATTGTGGTTAGTTTAACTAATTTATCATATTTGTGGTTAGTTTCTATTTATTTATGTGTAAGGCTATAAAAGCCAAAGTCAAGTACTCAATAATATTATCGCTTCAAACTCCAATCGTTTATGTTTCTGTGTTAATCATTCTTCTGTCAAAAACTTATAATTGGTATCAGAGCCAGCACTAGGCTTTGTAGTGTAGAAATTTTTTAGTGATCAAATACAGAGAGTATGAGTAAAGACAAGACTTTAACGAAGATCCCTCACTTCGATGGTCACTATTGATCACTAGAGTGAGCTGATGGAAAATTTGCTCAAAACAAAGAGTTTATGAAGTGTGGTAGAGATTGGTTTCTCAGAACTAGCTAAAGAAACAATGATGACTAAGGCATAAAAGGGTCACCTTGATGATGCTAGACTCAAAAATCACCAAGTAAAGCATTACCTCTTCCAGGCAATTGATCGTACTGTCTTTTAACAAATCTTGGATCATCGCACAACCAATATTGTTTGGGACTCAATGAATAAAAAGTTTGGTGGAGACCAAAAAGTTAAGAAATCTCTTCTTAATGCATTAAGGAGAGAATTTGAGATTCTAGAGATCGAAGAAGGATGAAAGTATCATATTATTTTGCAAGAGTGATGATAATCTCCAACAAGATGAGACGATATGCCAGACAAGAAAACTGTAGAAAAAATTACGTACCCTCACTGAAAAATTTACTTATGTTGTATTATCCATTGAGGAATCCAAAGATACTGATAACATGTCCATTGATGAATTACAAAGTTCATTAGTGGTGCATGAACAAAAATTTCGAAGATCAAGCAGTACTGGAGAGGAGCAAGTTCTAAAAGTCGAAGGTCGAACGGAAATAAGTAATAGAGAAAGGGGAGCTTATAGGAGCAGAGGACGCGTTAGAGGAAAATCAACTTTGAATAAAGCAACTGTTGAATGTTATAGGTGTCATGACTTGGGTCATAAATATGAATGTCCAAAGATGAATAAGGAATTGAATTATGCAAAGCTGGAAGAAGAGGATGAAATGTTGTTAATGGCTGATATTGAAGACATGAAGAAAAAAGGAGTTATACTTGGTTCTTAGATTCTGGTTGCTTAAACCATATGTGTGTATATGAAGGTATGTTTTCAAGCTTAGACAGGACCTTTTCCCACTCCATCAAAAGCTTGAAAATAATATAAGTATGAATGGTTTTGGAAAGGGTGCAGTGAAATTAACTTTGCATGGGGTTCGCTACACTATTAGTAATGTGTATTGGGTACCTGAATTAAAAAATAATCTCTTGAGCGTTGGACAAATACAAGAAAAAGGAGCAGCAGTGCTCTTGAAAGATAATATACGTAGCATTTATCATCCACAAAAAGGAAAAATGGCAGAGTCAATTATGAGTGCAAATTAGTTGTTCACTTTGTTTGTTAAACCATCTGCTACAACAAATGAAGGAAGATGCCTCCAAGTTTCAAATATAGATCAGTTAACACTTTGCAAACATCATTATGGTCATCTCGGCTACAAAGGCTTGTGCACCTTGAAACACAAAAACATGGTGAAAGGTCTGCCACAAATTGTAGCTCCAAACACCACCTATGAGGCATGTATGAAAGGAATGTTGAAACTAATAATAGAAGTTTGAATTAGTTACTACAGAAGAGAAGGAGGAGATTAATTCAATTCCATCCACAAAATTCTCAACCAACTCCGGGAATTCTCCCTATAAAAGGACCTCCCTCCCCATCATTCAAATCAGTCCACCATCTCGAGGTTCGATGGTCATTATGATAATTGGGCGATGTTGATGGAAAATTTTCTCAGATCAAAGGAGTTCTTTGATATGGTGGAAACGAGTTATGAAGAGCCAAATGAAGGCGAGGTACTCTCAGCTGGTCGACAGCAACTGTTGGTAGCATCGAAGTTGAAGGACCTGAAGGTCAAGAACTATTTATTTCAGTCCATTGATAGGACTATCTTGGAAACAATGCTTTAGAAGAAGACATCCAAGGAAATTTGGGACTCTATGAGGAGGAAGTATCAAGGCTCAACGAGAGTAAAACGTGCTCAACTACAGGCAGTTAGGAGAGACTTTCAAATTCTCCAAATGCAAAAGGGAGAAACGGTGAATGATTATATTGGCAAGGTTATAAGTCTTGCAAGTAAAATGAGGATGCATGGTGGTTCAATCACAGATGTTGCGGTCGTAGAAAAGATTTTGCGATCACTAACACCAAAGTTCGATTATATTGTATGTTCTATCGAAGAAGCAAACAATGTCGAGGAAATGCAAATAGATGAACTCCAAAGCTCCCTATTAGTACATGAGCAGAGGCTCAATCGTACAAGTGCAATAGAGAAGATGACAGCCTTAAAGATATCCACACCAAGTGAAACTTCAAGCTCTAGAGGTAGAGGGCAAAGAAGAGGCAGAGGTCGTGAGAGAGGCAGTCGAGAAAGAAGTGGAGATGTTGGCAGGTCAGCAGACCTAGTCAGAAACGATTATGACAACAAAGGCAAGAGGCACTTTGACAAGTCTAAGGTGGAATGTTACAGATGTGGACGCCTTGGACATTACAAAAATGAATGCTATACCAGGCTCCAAAAGTAGAAAAGAAATCAATCCAATTTTGTGGAGAGAAGAAGAAGAAACATTATTAATGTCATTCCATGCTATGAAGGTGGCAGATCAAGGTGTGTGGGTCGTAGACTCTAGATGCAGCAATCATATGACAGGTTGTAAGGAATTCTTCTCAACTTTAGATGAAAATTTTCATACTACGGTCTCTCTTGGCAACAATTCAACTCTCCAATTGATGGGGAAAGGAACCGTAGATATCAAGACTAGAAATGGCTTTGTAGAGTCTATTTCTAATGTATTCTACATTCCTGTTCTGAAGGCCAACTTACTTAGTATCAGTCAGTTACAAGAAAAGGGGTATGTGATCACATTCCAAAATGATGAATGTGAAATTTATGACTCCAAAAGAGGATCGATTGCTAAGATGAAGATGACCACCAACCGTCTATATCCGTTGACGTTAAATATCGTTGCCAAAAGTTTGATGGTGAAGAAAGAAGATACCACTTGGCTTTGGCATTTTAGGTATGGTCATCTACACTTCAAAGGATTAAAGACGTTGTCTTCAAAGAAGATGGTAACTGGGTTGCCAGATATTACTCCACCAACGGAAATTTGCGAGAGCTATGTAGTAGCAAAACATGAAAGAAACTCTTTTCCATCTGGAAAATCAAGAAGAGCTCAAGCAATTTTGGAGCTGATTCATTCAGACATATGTGGTCCCATCTCTCCTGCATCAAATGGTAACAAGAAATATTTCATGACCCTCATCGATGATTTTAGTCGAAAAACATGGACTTATTTCTTGCACGCCAAATCAGAAGCCTTTGATTGCTTCAAAAAATTTTGTGCTACTATGAAAACGAAAGTTGGAAGAAGAGTCAAGGTTTTAAGAACTAACAGAGGTGAAGAATTCTGCTCGAAAGAGTTTATTCAATTTTGTGAAGAGAAGGGCATACATAGGCATTTAACAACAACATATACACCACAACAAAATGGTGTGGCCGAAAGGAAAAATAGGACCATTCTGAACATGGTTCGAAGTTTACTAAATAAAGGAGAAGTCCCGAAGGAATTCTGGCCAGAAGCTGTTGTGTGGTCCGTTCACATTCTCAATCGCATCCCTACCTTTTCTGTTAGAGATATGACTCCACAAGAAGCATGGAGCGGAAGAAAACCTGCTAGAATCTTTGGGTGCATAGCATATGCACATGTTCCTGATGAGAAAAGGAAGAAACTTGAGGACAAGAGTTCGAAGTGTGTGTTCCTTGGAGTAAGCGAGACCTCTAAGGCATACAAGCTCTACGATCCTTTGACAAAGAAGGTGGTGGTAAGTCGTGATGTAGTCTTTGACGAAAAAAAGACTTGGACATGGAAAGAAAAGATCACTGTGAATCAGAAGATTCCTGTAAATCTTGAAGAAGAACAAACTGAAGCCCCTATTCAGCCTCACTATGAGCATGGAGAGAGCTCATCACAAGCTCAACAAGAAGAACTAGTAGAAGAAGATCATGATCAAAATCAAAGACATCCAAGAACAAGAAAAAGACCAAACTGGATGATTGATTATGAGATGGATTATGAATCAAGTGATAGTGGTTATTTTGCATTCTTTATGGATAGTGATTCAATTGTCTATGAAGAAGCAGTAAAAGAGAAGAAATGGAAGGAAGCTATGGACAGTGAAATCAAATCCATAGAGAAGAACAAGACTTGGGAGCTCACTGATCTTCCTAGAGGGCAGAAAATAGTCGGAGTAAAATGGGTTTTCAAAACCAAGTTGAATGAAAACGGTGAGGTGGATAAGTACAAGGCGCGACTTGTTGCAAAAGGATACAAGCAAAAGTATGGAATTGATTATAAGGAGGTATTTGCACCAGTGGCACGTCAAGACACTATCAGGCTCATAATTTCTATTGCAGCACAGAAATCTTGACCTATTTATCAACTTGATGTGAAATCAGCCTTCTTATATGGAGAGCTTCAAGAGAAAGTATATGTGGAGCAACCAGAAGGTTTTGTTCAAAAAGGCAAAGAGGAACAAGTATACAAGTTGAAGAAAGCTTTGTACGGTTTGAAGCAAGCTCCGATGGTACAGTCGCATTGATTCTCATTTTGAAAAGATGGGATTCACCAAATGCCCGTATGAACATACGTTGTATGTGAAAACTGAAAAGGGAGGTAACATTATCATTATTTGCTTATACGTTGATAATTTAATATTTACTGGCAATAATGAAGAAATGTTTGAATTTTTCAAGAAGAGCATGATGAAGGAATTTGAAATGACAGATCTTGGCTTGATGAGATATTTTCTTGGAGTAGAAGTTACTCAAACTCCCGCAAGTAACTTTATCTGCCAGAAGAAGTATGCTCAAGAATTACTTGAAAGATTTACTTGAAAGATTTAAATTGGATGAGCGCACAAAATATACTATAGGGGTACCATGGTGTCAGCTCTCCACCACCTCATGGCCATGTGGCCTAAGCGAGCTACCCTGTGGCACATACGTGTGTCACAGTATGGGTGAGCGTGTCGAGATGAGTGTCGAAGGTTGCTATATAGACCTGCTATCCGATATGGTATACGTAAATGACATGGAACTGGCACGGGAGAGCTAATGCCTCGATATAACTCGGATGGATGGATGTTTGGGACGTTCCAATGAAATGAGCGACATGTGGGTCTGTTCTCAATGGCATGGGCGAGGGAGTTGCGATGGCCGACGACACCCCAAGACTCCAGATGGCGTCAAGACATATGGGCCATGTCGATGGGGATCGCAATAAAAATATGAGTCGTGACATTGCATTGAAAGAACTTGGCCCCGAGCAGAGGCAAGGTCGAGTCGCAGATGAATGAACATGCACACACAGACAGCGTGTGCGGTCGAACAAGCTTGAATTCCGCACAAGCGATGTTTGATTGGTGAAGACAAACCTCGCCTAAGGTCCGATGACGCCACAAAGCTGGGGTGAAAAATATATATGGGGCTTAATTTCCTTTAAGGCTAGTCGTGAGGGTGTCAAGATCACCACGCCGCTCTGTTGAAAAAGTAGTACCGTGACAGTTGGTATCAGAGCCATACTTTGTGTGTCTAGTGGGACAACACAGTCAAGAGAAATGAACTCGAGAGTTGATTGAAGACCTTGCAAGTGTGTCAAGAGTGCTAGAGTGGGCAAGACAGTTTCTGGTCAGAATTGGAATCAGTTGTGGCTGAAACCAAGACTACCCGAAGTTCATTAGTGTTGTGTGTTGACACTTCAATGTGGGGAGATCTACCCATCAAGTAAAACCAAGCTCATTTTCCAAGCGCTTGTAGTCCTTAAGTGGGCAAGACAGATGAAACAGAAAGTAAACCATGTCGGTGCTTTCCAAAGAGTCATTCACATTAGAGGAATAGTGTTAGTGGTTGCAAGCAGAGAAGCCGAGAGCCAAGAAAAGACAAGCATCGGTGCCAAAGTTCAGTACAACGCAAGTCCTTATAGGAGGATGAATTTGTTGCAAAGAGGCAACCAATTTTAAGTGGGGGAGAGCCCAAGTAATTAAGTATCTCACCCCGTAGAGGTGCTCAAAGGTGCGAGTACACGTGTACTCCTTGAGCCATCACCTTATGCTTAAAGTGGATGACTCCACAAGATTTGTCGAGACCAATATCAACTCGAGAAGTGAGCATCAACTTGAAGTGGACATAGAGAAGTGAAGCTACAACATGACCACAGAAGCGTCAAGGCAGCATTGCCACACGAAGGTGGCCAGTTAAGAGTTGGCGAAAGTGTCGCCAACACGGAGTTGTGTTACAAATTTTAAAAGAATTGGCAAGAGTGTAAAGTAAACACAGAGTTGTGTTACGAGTTTTGCAGACATCCAATTAAGAGTTGGCTGAAGTGAAGCGCTAATACGGGGTTGTGTTACAAGCTTTCATACATCGCTACTATGATGGTTGGTGCCATGATGAATAAATGTCGTGGTTGGCTTGCGAGCCTCACCTCGAGGGGTGCACTATTGTATGCAACTCAGAGAATACGATGAGTGTGGCCAAAGTGGCAAAAATTTGGGGAGCTCTCCCTCTAGCCAAGGAAAGAGCATGCCAAAGCTAGTTAGTTTACCATTGTTTTTCTGGTGAATCTTGGGTCAAGTTTGCAGAAGGGCGAGGGAGGCCCA